GCGAGCTCCCAGGGAGCCAGGAGGGAAAGCAAAGAGCTGCTGGTGGGGGGTGGGACTGGAAAGCTGAGCAGGGACTGCCCGGGGGATCTGTCTGATGCACAGGCTGGGAAAGAGGGGGCTGGGCAAGGCAGGGGATGGGGCTGGGCTGCCAGGCTGGGAGGAGGCCGGGATGGGGCTGGGAGAGGGGCAGATCTGAGTGGACCAACTGAAATTTCTTTGCCTTCTCCCCTTTACTTTCTTTTCCTTCCCTGTTTCTTCTGCCTCCCTCTGCTCTGGAGCCAGGCTGGGAGAGCTGGGGGTGCTCCCCTGGAGAAGAGAAGGATCCAGGGAGATCTTGGAGCCCCTTCCAGAGCCTAAAGGGGCTCCAGGAGAGCTGGAGAGGGACTGGGGACAAGGACTGGAGGGACAGGACACAGGGAATGGCTTCCCACTGCCAGAGGGCAGGGAGAGATGGCAGACTGGGAGGAAATCTTCCTCAGATTGATGGGGGTTTAGGGTGTCCAAGGGTTTATGGGGGACAAAGAGTGATGGGGGTTTGTGGGGATTTGGGTGAGTCTGGTGGGTGTTAGAGAGTGATGGGGGTTTATGAGGAGTGTGGAGGTGTTGGGGGTCTGGGAAGGTCACAGAGTGATGTGGGTTTATGGGGGGTCTGGGTGGGTTTATGGGGGTATGGGGGTGTTGGGGGATCAATGACCCAAGGGGATTTAGAGGTGTTTAGGGAGGTGTGTGTGGGGAGTCAAAGAGTGATGGAAGTTTTTATGGGGGTCTGGGAGGGTTTATGGGGGTGCAGGGGGTGTTGGGGGGTCAAAGAGTGATGGGGCTCCCCCCAAGGCCGTGGGGACCCCACGGAGACCCCCACAACGGTTTGGAAACCCCCTCAATGCCATGGGGACCCCACACAGCCCTGCCTGTCCCCAAGTCCTTAATAACCCTCCAGAGACCCCAAATTCTGCCGGGTGTCCCCCCAGATCCCCCTCAGGCTTTGGACACCCCCAAAATCACTCGCAGCCCCCGAGGCCCCCCCGGGTGTTCCCCAGATCCCCCCCAAGGCCTGGGGACCCCTGAAAATCACTCTCACCTCCCAAAACCTCCCGGAACTCTCGGGGACTCCCGGGGACCCGCCTAAATCATGCCCTCCCTCAATGGCCACGCCCCCTGTTTTGACCACACCCCTTCTCCGGACGGCGCCCCTTGTTTGCCCCGCCCCTGGCTCGTCATTCCCTCAGGCCACGCCTCTGACCTTCGAACCCCGCCCCCTTTTTTTATTGTGGAAGGGTTCCTTGGGAAGAGTGGGAAAGGAGGGAAGGAGGAGAAGGCTCCTCGGGAAGAGCGGGGAAAGGAGGAAAAGGCTCCTCAGGAAGAGCGGGAGAGCCGGGAAGGAGGGAAAGTCTCCTCGAGAAGAGCGGGAAAGGAGGGAAAGGCTCCTCGGGAAGAGCGGGAAAGGAAGGAAAAGGCTCCTCGGGAAGAGCAGGAATGCAGGAAAAGGCTCCTTGGGAAGAGCGGGAAAGGAGGGAAGGGGGAAAAGTCTCCTCGGGAAGAGTGGGAGCGCTAGGAAGGAGGGAAAGGCTCCTCGGGAAGAGCGGGAAAGGAAGGAAGGAGGAAAAGGCTCCTTGGGAAGAGCGGGAGAGCCGGGAAGGAGGAAGAGGTTCCTCGGGAAGAGCAGGAAAGGAGGGAAGGAGGGAAAGGCTCCTTGGGAAGAGTGGGAAAGGAGGGAGGGGCTCCTCGGGAAGAGCGGGAGCGCCGGGAAGGAGGAAAAGGCTCCTTGGGAAGAGCAGGAGCGGAGGAAAAGTCTCCTCGGGAAGAGCGGGAAAGGAGGGAAGGGCTCCTCTGGAAGAGCGGGAGCGCCGGGCGGTCTGACCCCCCCTGACCCCAGAGCTCCACAACCCGGACGTGAAAGGTGGTTTTTATTTGGATGGATTTCAACAGCAACAACCTCCAAACGCCTCCGGGACGTTCCTCAGTGAGGGGTCTCGCACACTGGGAGCTGGGAAAGGCGGCTCTTCCCCGCCTGGATACGACGGGAAAGAGCCCTACCCGAAGACACGCAGCAGGAAAGGCTCCGGCCGCGGGGATCACCAATCCAAAGGGAATACGCGGAGGATCCCGAGGCACGCGGGGATAGCTCCCACCACGCCAGAGACCCTGTGAGCCCCCCCCCGGGGCCGTCCAGCCGCCGACCCCTCTGGGTGGGGGATCTCAGGAGGGTGTTTGAGCTGTGGGAGCCCTCCACGGGGAGGGAAGGGCAGGGCCTGGCCCTCGCCCACCCCCAGGGCTCCCTGGGGGGCTGCTGGGGCACCGTGTCCCGTGTCCTCACGGCGAGGACCTCCAGAGCTACCATGGGGCAGGAGGGACAGGCACTGGGGGAGGGCTGGGCCCTCGCCCTGGGGGGCACTGGAGTGTCCCCACTGCTCCATCCCAGCTCCCTGCTCCATCCTGGGTTCCGAATATCCCTCCGACGAGCCCTTTGGGAGCGATCCCGGAGCTCCACCAGCACAGCCCCAGCTGCCCTCTTCTTGCCCTGGGCCTGGGGGCTGAGATGCCCAGGAGGGCAGAGGCCTCTGAGCCACCCCCTGAGCTGACTGGGCAGCTCTGCCAGCCCCGGAGAGGGATGCACGACCTTGGGATTGATCCCAGCCCTGGTGAGGGATGCACAGCCTCAGGATCCATTCCAGCCCCGGCGAGGGATGCACGACCTCGGGATCGATCCCATCCCATCTCCAGTGAGGGATGCACAGCCTCAGGATCGATCCCATCCCATCTCCAGTGAGGGATGCACAGCCTCGGGATCGATCCCATCCCTGGTGAGGGATGCACAGCCTCGGGATCGATCCCATCCCTGGTGAGGGATGCACAGCCTCGGGATCGATCCCAGCCCTGGTGAGGGATGCACAGCCTCGGGATCGATCCCATCTCCAGCCTCGGGATCGATCCCATCCCTGGTGAGGGATGCACAGCCTCGGAATCGGTCCCATCCCCAGCCTCGGGATCAATGCCACCCCACAGCCCCACTCCCATGGGACCAGAGCCTGAAGGGGACCAGAGGAGGAATCCAGGAGGAATCCAGGAGGAATCCAGGAGCAGCAGCAGTAGGGAGGAGACACCCCCGAGCTGCCGAGGGCTGTGGGGAGGAGAAGGACGGACGTGGAGCCGGGGAAAGGCTGGGATGTGGGAGAGGCTCCCGTCCTTCAGGCCCCCAGCAGCTTCTTGACCATGTAGCCCGGCATGCTGTAGAGGAACAGGGCCACCATGACGAGGAGCAGCAGGGCCAGCACGATCTTGATGATGAGCCACTTGTAGCGCGTGCAGATGAGGTATTTGATGGACTTGAGCGGGTTCAGGAACCAGATGAAGGACGTGTCCGGGCGGCTGCAGGGAAAGGAAGTTGTTATTCCAACACCAGAGTTATTCCTGCACTTCTCTGGATGCCCAGAGAGGCTGTGGTTGCTCCTGGATCCTTGGAAGTGTCCCAGGGCCAGTTGGACGGGGCTTGGAGCGACCTGGGCTGGTGGGAGGTGTCCCTGCCCCTTCCCACCCAAAGCACCCCCTGTGATTCCAGGATTCCATGTGCCAGAGGAAGGACTGCACAGTGGTGAGGAGGCAACAGGAAGATTCCAGTCGGTGCTGGGGGGGAGGAGAGGGGGTGGGGAGGCCAAGGAAAGGAGCTGGAGCTGAGAGGAGAGGCAGAGGAGGGAGGGATTAAGGAAAAGCAGCAGGGCAGTGAAGAGCAGGCAATGGGGGAAGCACTGAAGGTGGCTCTGCCCAGGACTCTCATTCCCAAATCCCTCACTCCCCATACCTGTCTCCCTCCTGAGGGACCACCCCACCACAGCTCCCAGAGTCCCAGATCCCAGACTGGTTTGGGTGGGAAGGGATCTTAAATCCCATCCAGTCCCACCCCTGCCATGGGCAGGGACACCTCCCACTAGCCCAGGTGGCTCCAACCCGGCCTGGGACACTCCCAGGGATCCAGAGGCAGCCACAGCTTCTCTGGGAATTCCAGCCCAGCCCCTCCCCACCCTCCCAGCCAGGAATCCCTTCCCAATCTCCCCCCCAAATCTCCCCTTTCCCACTGGGATCCATTCCCTGGGTCCTGTCCCTCTAGTCCTTGTCCCCAGTCCCTCTCCAGCTCTCCTGGAGCCCCTTTAGGCTCTGGAAGGGGCTCCAAGCTCTCCCTGGATCCTTCCCTTCTCCAACTGAGCACCCCCAGCTCTCCCAGCCTGGCTCCAGAGCAGAGGGAGGCAGAAGGAGCCGGGAAGGAAAAGAAAGTAAAGGGGAGAAGTGAAAGAATTCAAATTCCAGAGGGGCCTCCTCTGGACTCATTCCCGCAGCCCTAGAGCTGGATGCAGCACTCCGGGTGGGAGCAGAATCCCAGAATCCCGGACAGCTGCTGCAGGGAGGAGTCTCCCACTTACTTGGGTTTCTCCAGGGGATCGGGCTCGTTCCGAGCCAGCCCGGCGGGGGATTTCTCGGCCTCCTCGGCCGTCAGCAGGTGCAGCTCAGCCTCCACTTTGCCCTGCAGGGAGCACACAGCCGTGCTGGGGCCTGGCACACGCTGCCACCTCAGCCCCCAGGGCATGGACACAGAAGGATTTCCCAGGGGGGGATGGAAGGTGTCTCCAAGGAGTGACCTCCCTGCCCTCACCGTGATCTCCAGCTCGTCGTTCTCGTCCCTGGCCACGAAGGGCCACCAGCCCTTCACCCGCTTCTGCTTGAAGATGGAGATCATGGGCAGCTCGGCCTCCTTGGTCACCATCTCCAGGCTGCACTGCTTGGACGTCTTGGCCCCCCGGGGGAAGCGGTTCAGGTCCAGCTCGATGGCCCCTGGCAGGAGAAAGAGGAGAGGGCACAGGGGTTGGTACCCCCAAAATGCTGCACAGGGGCTGGACTGGCAGCTCCTGCCCGGGGAAGAAGCTCTGAACCAGCTCTGAGAAGTAAAGAGCTGCTGGTGCTACGCTGGAGAGGACAGCTCCCAGAATCCCGGGATCATCTGGGCTGGAAAAGCCCTCCCAGCCCGTGGATCCACCCTGGGCCCCATCCCCACCTTGTCCCCAGCCCAGAGCACTGAGTGCCACAGCCAGGCCTTCCTGGGACACCTCCAGGGCTGGGCACTCCAAACCTCCCTGGGCAGCCCCTGCCAGTGCCTGACCACCCCTTCCAGCAGGAAATTCCTCCTCCTGTCCCACCTGAGCCTCCCCTGGCACAGCTGGGATCGTGTCGCACCCTCAGGGCCTTTTCCAGCTTTCCAGCCCCTCTGTCCCAGCCTGGAGTGTTCCAGGGGGTTGTGGTGACCCAAGGGCAGGACCTGGCACTTGGCCTGGTTGGCCCTCACACCAGTGACCTCAGCCCATGGATCCAGCCTGGCCAGATCCATCAGCAGGGCCTTCCTGCCCTGCCCTGCCCTGCCCTTCCACTGCTCTTCCCATGGATCCAGCTTGGCCAGATCCCCACTGCTCTTCCCATGGATCCAGCCTGTCCACATCCCTCAGTAGGGGCCTTCCCGCCCTGCCCTCCCTTCCCGCTGCACTTCCCATGGATCCAGCCTGGCCACATCCCTGGACGGTGCCTTCCTGCCCTCCCACTGTTCTTCCCATGGATCCAGCCTGACCACATCCCTCAATAGGGGCCTTCCTGCCCTCCCCCTGCTCTTCCTATGGATGCAGCCTGGCCAGATCCCCACTGCTCTTCCCATGGATCCAGCCTGGCCACATCCCTCAGCAGGGCCTTCCTGCCCTGCCCCTGCTCTTCCCAGGGATCCAGCATATCCAGATCCCTCAGCAGGGTCTTCCTGCCCTGCCCCTGCTCTTCCCATGGATCCAGCCTGTCCACATCCCCGGGCAGCCCCTTCCTGCCCTTCCCATGGATCCAGCCTGGCCACATCCCTCAATAGGGGCCTTCCCACCCTGCCCTCCCTTCCCACTGCTCTTCCCATGGATCCAGCCTGTCCACATCCCCGGGCAGGCCCTTCCTGCCCTTCCCAGCTGCCTCCCGAGCGCTCCGCGGGCTCCGCTCACCCAGGAAGTCGTCGGCCGAGAAGTGGTCGGCGTCCCAGACCTGCAGGGTGAGCCGGGCCGGGATCTTGTACTCGGTCTCGTCCCAGGAGAACATGGACTCCTTCTTGGAGATGACGATCTTCTCCTCGGCCATCAGGTAGTCGAAGGGGAAGATGTACCTCCAGTTGAAGTTGCCCTCCCCAGTGAGCGAGTGGTAGTGGACGTCCGTGTCCTGCTTGTCCTCCTGCTGCCCCTTCAACCACCTGAGGGACCAGGGGGGACACGGGTGACACAGGTGACACAGGGGACACAGGACCCCCCTGTCTGTGCAGCCAGAGGGGTCTCCAGGACTGGGAGGAGCCGAGAGAGGGGAGCCAAGAGGATTGGGGCTGCCCCGGGAAAGGGGCACAACAGGCACAGGGGATGGGGGAAAAAAAAGGGAAGTTTGGGAGAAAGGGATGAAAATGGGTCGTCTGGGAGCTGGATGGGAGCTGGGAGCGTTGCAGGAGCAGAGCAGGATGGGAAGGGATGACGGGAGGGCTGGAGAGGGACTGGGGGATGGGGGGACAGGACACAGGGAATGCATCCCACTGCCAGAGGGCAGGGAGAGATGGCAGACTGGGAAGGAATCCTTCCCTGTGAAGGTGGTGAGGCCCTGGCACAGGTTGCCCAGAGAAGCTGTGGCTGCCCCTGGATCCCTGGCAGTGTCCAAAGCCAGGCTGGAGCAACCTGGGGTAGTGGGAGGTGTCCCTGCCCATGGAGCAGGATGGGATTTCAGGTCCTTTCCCACCCAAACCAGTCTGGAATTCTGTGGTTCCATGGAGCTGGGATGGCTCCAGACTGGGCTTCTCAGAGTCTTGGAAGATAAATCCTGTGGGATGCGGCTCCAAGGGATTAAAGGAAGACACTGAGCTCCAGGGAGAGCTTGGAGCCCCTTCCAGAGCCTAAAGGGGCTCCAGGAGAGCTGGAGAGGGACTGGGGACAAGGGATGCAGGGACAGGACACAGGGAATGGATCCCAGTGGGAAAGGGGAGATTTGGGTGGGAGATTGGGAAGGGATTCCTGGCTGGGAGGGTGGGGAGGGGCTGGGCTGGAATTCCCAGAGAAGCTGTGGCTGCCCCTGGATCCCTTGGGAGTGTCCCAGGCTGGGCTGGATTCCCTGGGATAGCGGGAGGTGTTCCTGCCTGTGGCAGAGGGGTGTGAATCGAGTAATCATTGGAGTTCCTTCATTCACAAACCACTCCATGATTCCATAATTCTACAATTCCACGCTGGGGGCAGGGTTTGGGAGGGGCTTTTCCCCTCCTGCTGAGTGAGGGAGTGAAACAGGGTCAGGAAGGAACCAGAGTTTGGCTGCAGGCGCCGGAACCGGAGCGTGCGGGGCTCGGATGCCAAGAGGGGGCACTGGGACGAGGTCAGAGGGGGCAGAGAGGACCAGGCAGGGGGGCTGTGACCATTTTCCCCCCCGACACAGATGTCAGGCATCTTCTCTCCTGCCAGGAGAGCACCATCCCCCAAAAGCTCTTCCCATGGATCCAGACTGGCCAGATCCATGGGCAGGGCCTTCCTTCCCTGCCACTGCTCTTCCCATGGATCCAGCCTCTCCAGATCCCCACTGCTTTTCCCATGGATCCAGCCTGTCCACATCCCTCAATAGGGGCCTTCCTGTCCTCCCACTGCTCTTCCCATGGATCCAGCCTGGCCACATCCTTGGGCAGGGCCTTCCTGCCCTCCCACTGCTCTTCCCATGGATCCAGACTGGCCAGATCCATGGGCAGGGCCTTCCTGCCCTCCCACTGCTCTTCCCATGGATCCAGCCTCTCCAGATCCCCACTGCTTTTCCCATGGATCCAGCCTGTCCAGATCCCCACTGCTCTTCCCATGGATCCAGCCTGTCCACATCCCTGGGCAGGGTCTTCCTGCCCTCCCACTGCTCTTCTCATGGATCCAGCCTGGCCACATCCCTCAGTAGGAGCCTTCCTGCCCTCCCACTGCTCTTCCCATTGATCCAGCCTGGTCACATCCCCGCTGCTCTTTCCATGGATCCAGCCTGTCCACATCCCTCAATAGGGGCCTTCCTGCCCTCCCAGATCCCAACTCGCTCTGGATCCCAGCGCGGGCACAGCCGGGAGAGAGGTGGAGAGGCAAGGAATCAGAAGAGCCTGGCAGCACTGGGACCCTGCAGTGCCACCCCAGCAGCACCCTGGACCCCCCCCCAGGGCGGGGAGGTGGCGCTGGGATGTCCCCCTTGGGCACCCACCCCCTGACGAAGATGTCGCTGGACTTCTCTCCCGTGAAGTAGTCGTCGTCCTCCAGGATGACCTCGTCCGTGTTCCACACGATCACCCGCAGCTCGTACCTGGCAGCGGGAAGGGGGAAATCCAGGTGAGGGGCGGGAAGGGGGCAGGATCTCTCCAGATTTCCCCCCCAGCCCGTGTTTTCCCAGTCTGAACCAATTCCATGTCCACTGACGTGTTTTCCTCCTCTTCTTCACCCCCGACCCGCCTCCCTCTTTCTGTTGGGCACACGTTGGGTGTGTTTGGCACAATCCCCATCTCCCACTGCCTGGGGGTGCAGTTCCATGTTGAACAGCTTCCTGAGCCCTGGGAAGGCCAGGCTGGGCCTTGCTCCAAGGAGACAGAACTCTCCCTCTCCTTGGGGACAGTCTGTCCTTCAGCCAATGCTTCCTGACTCCTCTCCATCCCTCCATCTCTTCAGATCCCCCCCAGCCCGTGTTTTCCCAGTCTGAACCAATTCCATGTCCACTGACATGTTCTCCTCCTCTTCTTCACCCCCAACCCGCCTCCCTCTTTCTTTTAGGCACATGTTGGGTGTGTTGGGACACAACCCCCTGCCAGAAACCAGGGACGGGCACCAGGAACTCACAGGGATCAACTGAGGGATCCATGAGGGCAGGAACAGGAGGGGAACTCAACCATGGAGGTGATTGGAGGGACGGGACTGTTCTTAATGGAGCCAGGCTGGGAGAGCTGGGATTGTTCAGGTGGAGAAGAGAAGGATCCAGGGAGGCCTTAGAGCCCTTTCCAGAGCCTAAAGGGGCTCCAGGAGAGCTGGAGAGGGACTGGGGACAAGGGATGCAGGGACAGGACACAGGGAATGGCTTCCCACTGCCAGAGGGCAGGGAGAGATGGGAGATTAGGAAGGGATTCCTGGCTGGGAGGGTGGGGAGGGGCTGGGCTGGAATTCCCAGAGAAGCTGTGGCTGCCCCTGGATCCCTGGGAGTGTCCAAGGCATGGTTGGAGCCACCTGGGATAGTGGGAGGTGTCCCTGCCCATGGAATGGGTGGAATTACACAATCTTTAAGGTCCCTTCGACCCCAAAGCATTCCATGATTCCATGATCTCCCCGGGAGCTGGGATGGACCTCGGCAGGGGGAGCAGAGCAGCAGGGGCTGCACCCAAAGGTGGGAGCTCGTTCCCTGTTCTGCCTCTCTGGCACCTCTAGCTGGGAGCCAGGGATGTTCTCTCTGCCTGGGATGCACAGGAGACTCCCACCAGCATTCCCAACAGTGCCAGCCCTGTATTCCAGGGCGGTGGGAAGAGGGGCACGAGGACAGAGCCCAGCAGGGTAAGGCAGGTCCTGGAGGGATTTTGAGGGAAGGAAGGTCTTTCTTCCCTCTGAAGGAGCTGGGAGAGGGCAGGGTGGGCAGGGAAGGGCTCTTGGTGCACTGCCTGTGCCTGCTCTGTCCTGCTTGGAATGGCCAGCTCTGTCCTGGTGGGAATGGCCAGCTCTGTCCTGGTTGGAATGTGCCTGCTCTGTCCTGGTGGCCTCCCGTGCCCTGGTTCTGTCCATCATCTCCTGGGAAAGACCCATCCAAAGTGCCTGGAATGCCGTGCCCTGGGATAACCCCGCCCACACCCGGGAGAGGGTCAGTGCTGGGCCCTCTGCTCTGCTGGGAATGGTTGGATTTCCTAGCCTGGAAAGATGGGGAGCTGCAGGGCGTGGAAGAGGTGGGACCCCACCCTCTGGAGCAGCTCTGGAAGGGGAAGGCACCTCTCTGTGCCTCCAGCCTTGGGATCTCTGGGAATGCCAGCGGGGCTGAGGAACTCCAGCAGAGGCCTGGGCTGGAGCAGCACCAGGAGAGGGGAGAGGCCGGGCTCCATCCCATGCTCCTGGGCTCCATCCTAAGCTCCCAGGCTCCATCTCATTCTCCCAGGCTCCATCCTACACTCCCAGGATCCATCCCAAGCTCCTGGGCTCCATCCCAAGCTCCCGGGCTCCATCCCATGCTCCCAGGCTCCATCCCATGCTCCCAGACTCCATCCCAAGCTCCCAGGCTCCATCTCATTCTCCCAGGCTCCATCGTACACTCCCAGGCTCCATCCCAAGCTCCCAGGCTCCATCCCAAGCTCCCAGGCTCAATCCCAAGATCCCAGGCTCAATCCCAAGCTCCCAGGCTCCATCCCGAGCTCCCAAACTCCATCCCAAGCTCCCAGGCTCCATCCCATGCTCCCAGGATCCATCCCAAGCTCCCAAACTCCATCCCAAGCTCCTGGTGTCCATCCCAAGCTCCCAGGCTCCATCCCAAACTCCCAGGCTCCATCCCACACTCCCAGTGTCCCCGGGGTCAGCTCCTTACTTCTTGGGTTTCCTGGGAGAGATGTCGATGGCAGGGCCGGGCGCCGGCATGTCCATGGGGAACATGTCCACCCACATCTCCAGGCGGCCCTGCGGGGGTGCAGGGGTGCAGTCAGCTCCCCTCGGCCCCCCCTGAGACCCCTCCCCACCCGTGGCCACCTTCCCCCAGCTCCTTTTCCCCTCCAACGTCCCCCTGGTCGTGCCAGACATGGGGCCTGCAGTGCTGGAACTCTAAATATGAGGCAGGGCCTGTAGTTCTGAACCACCAGATATGGGGCAGGGCCTGCAGTGCTGGAACTCTAAATGTGGGGCAGGGCCTGTAGTGCTGAACCCCCAGATGTGGGGCAGGGCCTGCGGTGCTGAACCCCCAGATATGGGGCAGGGCCTGCAGTGCTGAACCCTCTAAATATGGGGCAGGGTCTGCAGTGCTGAACCCCCAGATGTGGGGCTGAACCCCCTAAATGTGGGGCAGGGCCTGCAGTGCTGAACCCTCTAAATATGGGGCAGGGCCTGC